TCCCGGTGGACCTGCAGCAGTGCCAGCAGGCAGTTAAGAAGTTACCCCGCTATTTTCCATCCGCAATGAACACCGGCCAGCAAACAACACCATCAGTAACACAACCAGACCCCCAACAACATCATCAACCAAAAGCAGTATGCCAACAGGTAGCCCTTTACTATGTGACGTCCCAAAATAAATGTTAAAATGAAAATTTGCATCTATAGCTTCATTAGATAGAGCACATCCTTAGGTCATAGCACTTCCACTTCTTGTTTCACTTCTTTCCGGGCTCACAAAGGAGCCATTAAGCCTCGCCGTTCCCGAATTGATTTGGAAAGTCTTCGTATTGGGGGCGACCCCGGCGTAGTGGTTAACATCCATACCTCTCACGCTAAAGTCACGAGTTCAAATCTCACCCCCGGACAAGTCACGAATGACCCAAGAGTGTTAAAGTGACTATAATAAAAAAAAAAAAAAAAAAAAAAAAAAAAAAAGTCTTCGTATTGGCTTTTAGCACACACTTTGGTACAGCCTGGTTAGTTTATTTGTCATTTTGAAACTAGCAATACCTGTGAAAGAGTATCTTCATTTCACGTGTTCCTACTTGATGTGAGCGACCTTACGTGGATGAGGGTTATAAGCAGTTGAACGGCCCTGATATCCTTCAATCCCTGAGCTTGCAGGTAACATAAGAGAATCCAGTGAAATTACCGTTTCAATTTGGGTTGCCGAAAACAGTTTGTTGATACCGGAACAATCGGGATATCGGGAAGGTATTAGCGAAGTGGAAAAATAACTTGGAGTGTAAAGATACGATTGTTGCTGTTTTTTTGGATCTTCTAGGCCCTCATTGTTAATATCAATCAAGCGCTTTGGAATTACGAGTACTGCATATAAATGGTTTGAAAGCTATTTGCCTGACAGAACTCAACGGACTGTTTTTAATGATTCTGTTTCCAGTCCCATGGGGAATAACCTTGGAGTGCCCCAGGGAATTGTATTAGGGCCCATGTTATTTATTATGTATATTTATGACTTGCGACGTGTTTTACGACATTTATATTTGCAACATTTATCTTCTTGCAGATGATACTGTGTTATGCATTGCAGCTAAGGATTTAGATGATGCCGTTTTACACTTGAATGAAGATTTGCGTTCTTCAAGTATATGGTTGAAATATAAGCAGTTGAAATTGAATACAAGTTAAACTAAATACATGGTAATTTCGCGGAATCGATTAAATGAGAACGTCTCTGTTGTAACTGATGATGAGACTATTGATCGCGTTCGGAAGATTAAATATCTTGGCGTGATTATTGATGACAACCTTAAGTTCAACTCTCAAATTGACAATGTCATCAAGAAAATTGCCAAGAAGGCTAGAATTCTATGTCGACTGAAAAACGATTTAACTATTGCCAGTAAAATACAACTATACAAATCAATCATCTCTCCTCATCTAGACTTTTGCCCTTCTATTTTTTTTTCTGGCCAATGAAACACAAATATCGAAATTACAGCGCTTGTAGAATAAAATAATGCGTTTGATTTTGAGATGTAACAGATTCACTTCCTCAACTTTGATGCTAGACACCTTACAATGGTTGTCGGTGAAGCAAAGAATTGTATATTTGACTATGGTGTTCATTTTTAAAGTAGTTATCGGTTTGCTGCCTCGATATTTGTGTGATCGAATTGAAAGAGAAAGTGACTTTCATGGGTATAATACTAGAAACGCGGTTGAAATAAGAACACCACATTTATTAACTTGTGCTTCACAAAATTCATAATATTTTAAGGGAATAAATGTTTTTCATACGATGCCTAGACATATCAAACGTTCAGCAACACTTACAGAATTTAAAAGACACTGCATTTCACACGTTAAAACTGTCTTTTGAACAGTTATCCAGTGATATTTTTTTTATGAATTGACAAATAATATATCTTGACGAAGTTATCTCTAACGGATTATTTTATGTGGATAGCTGTCATAATGACTTTTTATTAATTATTGTAGCACTGCAAAAACTATTTCTGGTCACCACGATGGTGATGATGAATTTTTAATAGTAGTAGTAGTAGTAGATAAATTAAAAAAAACGTAGTCTACAAAGGTTTGAGTCTCGCGCGCGTATTACGGATATAGAGGACTGAATTTAAAAATTGATAAAAAAAATGCAATTTTGAAGCTTATTTGGAAAATACCTTGAGTTAGTATTAAGTTTTCCGGCAAATGTTGGGGGCTCGTGAGCATTCCTGACATTGCTGAAAATTATGATAGCATCAGATTGCGGGGTTTCTACTGTAATAAGATGCTTTGTTGATTGTTCATTAACTCTTGATTGCTTGTAATACTTATGAATATTTTAGGTGGACAAAAAGGCGAACTAAGAGGTGGACGCCTGAGCTTTTCTACATATATATCGATGTGAAGCAACTGTAAACTCTAGAGGGTTTCGATTTTGTTTGGTTAACCTGGTTAAAATGTCATCCTTTTAATTTGTCGAACCTCTTAACGGAATCCCTTTATGAAGAGCTTTGAGTGGGTTGGTTTATTTCCTTTAAATTCCGTTATAATTGCTTATCTTTTGACAGATACGCGTATTTCGTCTACTACTTGCAGACTTCATCAGTGCCAAGTAGTGGTGTTGAGTACTTGGCACTGATGAAGTCTGCAAGTAGTAGACGAAATACGCGTATCTGTCAAAAGATAAGCAATTATAACGGAATTTAAAGGAAATAAACCAACCCACTCAAAGCTCTTCATAAAATGTCATATTTAATTACCTTAAAGATAAATCGTCCAGCTCAAACCTTTGTAGGGGTAAGAAGTGGGACCATCATCATCATCATCACCATTAACGGATAGCCGAAGAACACACAACTTCAAAATGACAGCAAAGGTTGAGCTTTACAGTATGAACTTTACAAATCAGGTCTGTGTTTTTTACAAAAAATTGGTACATTACTGCTGTTTGATTTTGTAAAAGATTACACATTCGTCACAATGTTTACAGATTTGCGGAATTCAGCAGTTTTGATTGCGGAAAATTGGTAAAACAATACTTTTTACATATCTTTTGGTAAAAATATATTTTACAGAACAAATCCAGCAAAAAAATTACCGAACAAGAACTAAAAAAATTTTGTGTGTACGATCCCGTAGGTAGGTAAATTTGATTCCATTGCGTTAAGTATTGCTATATTTTATGGTCATTTTCCAAAAACAGTCGTACCAAAAGATAATTATTTTTAAAGTGATGAGCGGGGGGTGAGCCAACATGTTAAGAATCCGTAGAATTTCTTCGGCACTCCACTGGTCGGTCAGTAGATCCATAGTAAATCTAAACCCGTAGAACTAACCACACAGTTGTTTTCCATGATTTGTTTTCCGTGCTGAACACCAATACTACCGACGCCAGGGAGGCAGCTCCCACACCTCGACTTATCAACTCATGAACCGGTGGACCAACGCTTTACTTCACTTCCGAAGGAAGGCGTGACCAGAGATGTTATGCCTCAGAACATTCCGGCGGCGCCGACTGGGATTGAACCCAGGTCTGCTGGGGTGAGAGGTAATCACGCTTACCACTACACCATCGGCGCTGCTAACTAACCGCACTGGGCTGCGGTTGTTTCGACCGCCAAGTTCGACCGCACTTGACGGCACTGAAAAATAAATTGTTTTTTATTTAAGGTTTGAATTTAAAATGATAAATTCTAAAAAAATTATTATTTGAATTTGAATTTGAATTAGAAAATGTACGTATTTACTTTGATGTTACATTTTATACTTGTATTAGATTAACATTAAACCAATAACCTTTAAACATATGCTCTTCATTTAATATGAATCATTTGAAATGTAATTTCTGTAATACAATAAATTTACATAATCCATATCATAGTCATCATAGTCAACATAATTTCGTAGTTAATATTTTGTAATTCATATCAAACATATTACAAGAGAAAAACGCAGCTGGCGCCAGTGGTATAGTGGTAAGCATGACTGCATTCTCACCCCAATGGTTCTGGGTTCAATCCCAGGTCGGTGGGATTTTTCTGAGGCATAAAAGATTCCCTTACTTTTCACTTGGCAACAGAGGAATTCTGCGTCAACTTCAGATTAGCGGCTGTAGTAAATCATTATATTGCGCATCGTTTAATAAATTAAACCATAGCGACCGCCATAACGCACAGGTGAAAATAACCGCGAGATAGCCGCCACGTCAAATGCATTGGAAAAAATCTTCCGTGCAAAATAAACAAGCATGTTTCTCCTATAGTCATTTAGATAGATCACTTTTCACTACTGTAGTCAGTCAAACAAAAAACAGTATGTTATCTGTCAAATTCGTATAGTTTGAAAAAGTGTTGGTGAATCTGTAATATAAAGTGGCCGAAATAACGATCAAGCATACGCCAATTTTGGATTTATCATGCAACAGGCGATATTAGCGATTTTGACGAATTATCTTAGCAACAATCATTACCAAACGTATCCCATGACAATTTAACGCTCACTGCCTGTTGATAATCATTTGGATTATATTTTATATTTTATTGCAATACCTTTCGTGGAGCTTCCAAAGTATCGTAATTTTTGTTTACTTTGCACGATAGGTAGCCGTTTTGACTGTTTCATAGGTAGACTTGGATTCAATCTTGGTGTGATTCTTTTACACCGACTCTAGAGAAGACTACTTAGTTTTCTGTGGATCAGCAATATTCTAAATGTAATCATAATATTTACTATCCACCCCAATAGTTTAGAGAAAGTTTCCAAAACAAAGTTCCTGCTTCTGGCTGGAAGAGTAAAAGTTGGCATCTGTGGATCTGACATATTGTTCAACACATTAAATAGAATAAGACCATCCACCAAAAGTGATCCATTTGCGATTTAAAAAAAAAACCTTCAAACTGATTATTTACAAATACGATTTGGCTCTTTAAAAAAATCCTCCATGTACGGTATGAAATCAACATTGTAACAATAACTGAAACTCACCTGACGCATTAAACTCGACCGAAATATCTCTCCAAGCACTGTCCGTTTCCACTCTGGACGAATGCGTTCTGCAGGAATAGTCGTACAAGCAAGGGTATCTTCTAATAAACTTAGCAAACCGAACGTTATCCTGCTGTTCCAATGACATCGTCAAATGTTTGCAACATTCGTGGAACCACTCGCGAAACACACCACACCGTCGGCAACTGTGCCACTGCTAGTCACTACTGAACGTAAATATGAGCGTTGATAGACGATGCGACGAGATGCTGGTGTGTCGGGCGACCCTAGTTGCCAGTCCGCACCGTTGCCATGTTTCTCGTTGGTTTCGTTCGATTTCGCCAGTTCGTAGGTACAGTTGCCCAGCCCGGCACGGGTAAATTTGTGGTTTATTTGTGTGAGTTAGTGTGCTCTTCACACGATGGATCTCGGTAGGAAGCAACTGGCGATCGCATTGCAACCGCGTCGTTGAAGTGCAGGGTGACGACGGTAGGGCCATGATCCATCACTGTTTGCTTGTCAACTCTGGTGCGTTGATAAAACTGTTTTTCACAGAAACGTTTGAAGCATCGTTTAAAACAGTTTGTCAAGCATGATAAGAAATTACCATAAACTGTGATTTAAATTTTTATTATGGATTTGAATATGCAATTATATTGAAAATAAAAACACATTTTTCAAATTTGTTGTAGGAAGCACATCTTCCCCCTGTTTATGTTTTCCAAGCTCGGGGTTCTAAAAAGCAAATTAATCAGTAATTTAAGCAAAAGATGGTCTATGATGTGAATTACTGCATAAAATGAGCATTGAAAGTTATTGTTTAACCCATTCTTGGAATAGGGTCTCGGAGGAAAGCAAAGCCGTTCTCCTCCCTATATACATTTTTACAAATACAAAAATACAGTCAACTATTCATAACTCGATGTTGAAGGGACCATCGAGTTAGATAATTAGCGACCAATAGAATTAAGAATAATTAATAATAATATTAATTTTAAGAATAAACCCGAATTATTCCATCTACTGTAATATCCGCTCCTATTTATCCATATGAATTCGAAAAAAAAATGATTCATGAATCCAGTTACGGAAGTTCTGAGCAGTTCATTCCATATATTAAGTCAATGTGAACAAAAACACGCAAATGTACGGATATGAATCCAGTTACACCTTTTGGCAAATTTCTATTTCTGATTATTCATAAAATGTATTAGTCAACTAATAACCAGACGCCTTGCAAAAAAGTTATGTCATGTGTCATATGAAATGTATAAATGGTCACACATACCGTTTATGCATTCTCGTACGACCTATGTGGATTATCTTATGGAATGTATAAGGCTGATGTTTTAGCAAAACCGTATAAGTCAAACACATGAATAAAATAATTAATTTTCGTTTCGTGTAGGACTGTCAATTCATGAAATTCTCTGAATTTATGATTATGAATAATGGCACAAATAAGAAAAAATAGATATATATTGATAGCCTCCTCCCACACACAGAGGGCAGCGCACCCGATAGCGTGGGTATGCATTTTACAGATTTGCAGTCTTGGACAATTGGTGTCTTCTGATTAGTTTGTATTATTAGTAGTGCATTTTTTAGTTCTGAGAAAACATTAAAAAATTGTGATAATTAATTTATTGAGGATTTTTTTTTAAACCGATCACTCGTTTTCAGTCTTTTATGTATTGGGCATCATTTTTCAGATTTATAAAATGCAAAATTTTGATTCGAATGCCGTCTATGCGGCAGGAATACGATCTAATCAGAAGCAACCAAAAGTTTGCTCCTTGTAAACTATACAACTTCCACTTGTGTGTCAATATTGACTTATGGAGAGAACGATTCATGAAAAAATGAAGAAACCATTCAATCCATCGAGTTATAAAATATCGAGTTAAATAATATTGAATTGTGTGGAGTTGACTCTATTTTAAAATATCCTAATATTTTTTTTAAATATCTTTGTGCATGTACCTATTTGAAAAATAATAACAATATAATTTCAAGTTTTTTTTTAATTCAAAACCAGAAATTAACAAAATCAATAAATACCAAAATTTTACAAGAAATCTTTAGATGCTGATTTCCAGAACTAATCTGATTTGATTTGATTATTTATAAACATATTGGAGTGATACGTAGTGCAAAAAATCTGGATTTTCGACCCCTCCCCCCCCCCATATGCAACAATAAATAACGCCAAACATACTCGCTCCCCCTTTTACTTAAAAAAAGAATAAAGAATCTCAATTAACAGTTTGAAAACCTTGTTTTATGAAAGATACAAGAGTCACGTGCATTTAGTCAACAGCACATTTTTGAGTTTTTAGCTATTACGTAACATTGATAATACCCCCCCAACCCCATCCATTCATTCCTGTGTAACAATAAATAACGCAAGCTTGACACCCCTCCATGCGCTACGTAATTTGTACACGAAGCCTTACAATCTAAAGTGGGACCAGCGTTGCCAGATTTATACCGATTTTTTTAATAATAAAAAAAAAATAAAAAAAATTAAGAACTGTCAAAATGTGAGCCAAATGAGCATTCTAATTAGAAAATATTAAGAAGATTTCTAATTGGTTTGAAAAGTATTGTAATAGGGATGAAATAAATTCAAACAATAAACTTAAAAAAAGATTATAGCTGCAAAATGCGTATGTTAACATAAGAGAGTTTTAAGCATGATTATATTAAAAATTGTAATTTTGGTGTTTTCGGAGCACTTATTGCTCGTATAATAAGGAATCAGTGCACCGAAAACAACAAGACGATCAGAAGAAAACTCGCACATTTATCATAATTTTTAATTAAGTGAAAATGCACTAATTTGTCAAGTTTGGTGTGAAGTGTGCAATATAGTTAAACTATAAGCAATAGTTCTGTTTTTTTTTCCAGCAATATATATTAATTCTTTAGCAAAATACAATTGCGTGTGCTCGAAGTGGTACTGGAAGAAGCATTAAATTTTAACTAAATGCATACCACCCAATAATTACCATTGTAACATACACTGCACAAACGCATAGAATCCACTAGGGTAGTCCGCAATACTCCGCCATTTTTGGCGAGGTTCAGTGTTTTTCGAAAACCGGAAAAAAAACCTCACATTTTTACACTTGGTTGCACTTCTACGACCGCGGTTCACCAGTTCACGAAGATTTCAAACAACGTAAAGAATCAAACTCATACAGTAGACAACGATAAAGTCACGCACAAAGCTGGAACATTTTGCTCCGCGGCAAGTGTTGGCAGCTTATGTAAACAAAACGAATTACGTTGTCAAATTGTCTGATAATATTTCCGCGAATCTCTGTATATAGGATCACTAGTAAAATCCATAAACAAAATTCAGACTGTACGTGAAACTGGCGGCCATCGTACCATAGAGGTAACTCTAAGACTAGTAGGTCCCGAAGAAACGTGCTCAACTTTTTGGCTCAGCTCTGGTACTATCTTCGGTCCCAAGCTAATCGATTCACCCCTCGAAACATAGGAAAATCCAGTAACCCCTCATTTTATCTGTCAAACTTTCATAGCGAATCAAAACAAACATAGTGTAGTACTAGAATTTTGACTAGAATGGGGTACGTTAATCGATTTGCTTGGGACCAATAGGCTAGTCAAGTAGTGAGCCAATTTAAAATCGATAGCTTCGTATTGATTGTTGATCGTACTATCCTTTCACTCCACTGAATATCTCAAAAAATCTGGGTTTAGACTAGGCAAGTCAAATGATCAACTCAGTTGAATGCAATTGGCTTGAAAAGTTGAGCCTGGTTCAACTTTTTACAATTCAAGTTGATCAAAACAGTTGAATTGCATGGTTAACACGTTCAAGTCAGTTGAATTCAACTGACTTGATCAATTGACTTGTCCTGTCTAAGCCCAGCTTAAGAAACTGCCAATACTTTCTAGAAGAGACGATTTCTCGACGGTACTGAAGAAATGCAGCGTTTTTTAGTTTAATATGCTTCCAATTATTTGCAAAACGAGTTAACGCTAGATAATAACGTTGTATCTTAATAATTCTTCAAATCGTGATATAATCCGGTTGCTTCGTCGAGTATTGGTGATAGCGGTGCCGGTGGTGTAGTGGTAAGCGTGATTACCTCTCACCCCAGCAGGCCTGGGTTCAATCCCAGTCGGCGCCGCCGGGATGTTCTGAGGCATAACATCTCTGATCACGCCTTCCTTCGGAAGGGAAGTAAAGCCGTTGGTCCCCGGTTCATGAGTTGATGGGTCGATAGGTAGGTAGGGTCCAGGTGTGGGAGCTGCCTCTCTGGCGTCGGTAGCATTGGTGCTCAGCACGGAAAACAAGATCGACGGAAAACAAATCAAAGGAAAAAAAAAAAAAAAAGAGTATTGGTGATGCAAAAGATACGATTGACGCGAGGAAGCATGCCAGATGGATTCGACAACATGTCGATCGTCAATTGATTCCAATTGGATCGTCACACACCCACACGTAGGCCAAATTGCTATCACGTAGCATCAGCGTTACACGATAACAGTACGTGACGAGAAATGTTTCCACACTTTGGCCGCTCCACACAGATCTGTTTGAACAAATTCAAAATTTTATTATTCCAATCAGGACCAGCATCGGCCATTACAATCCCCAGATTCGTCATCGTTGTGGAGCTGACTGACTCTGACTGTCTGTTGCAAAGTTGTCACATAGCATTCGATCAATCCGATGTTGCTGTGGTTCTCTTTGGTCAACACCCTTACTCAACAATCGGACGGAAGGCACGAAATGGAGCTATTAAAATTCCACTCATAACTTTCCGACTAAAATAATAAATCCTATTTGGAATAAATTTTCACTCGTCCCGTTCATTACTGGCCATTGGGTATTCCGATTGAATTCTGGCTATATGTTGCATTTGGCTGGTTGCTTTACAAGTCAGTTGCCATTCATTAAAAGAGAACTTCTGATGAGGTGGAGCTTTTCGTCAACACATTGTTGTAGCATTGATTTGCAAACATTGCTGGTATTGAATTAGACATGAATATTTTCGAATTGTCAACTACTTTGCGGCCCACTGAAGACTGGTAAGTAGTCCAATAATTTAGTTCCCCTGCCACGAGCCTAATCTTTACTTAATTTCCAACAGTCGGTTTCTTCACTTCAGTCTATTTGGCTGCAGTTCTAGATTCCACGTGTAATCCTTTTCCAGAATAGCGACGAATTGTGGCGTTTCAACAC